GTCGAGTTCTTGCTATTTGTGAATAGGTGCCGCAACTAAAGACATACGTGTGTGCATGTGTCTTTATAGCAGCATGATTCTATATCCTTTGGGTATATACCTGGGTATATGGGATGGCTGGGTCATATAGTATTTCTAGTTCTAGATCCTTGAGAATCACTATACTGTTTTCCACACATGGTTGAACTAGTTTACAATCCCACCAACAGTGTAAAAGTGTTCCTATTTCTCCACATCCTCTCTCTAGCACCCTGTTGTTTTCCTGACTTTTTAATGATCGCCATTCTAACTGGTGTGAGATGGTATCTCATTGTGGTTTTGATTTGCATTTCTCGATGGCCAGTGTTGATGCAGCATTTTTTCATGTGTCTGTTGGCTGTGTGAATGTCTTCTTTTTGAGCCAATGTCTGGTTCATATCCTTTCGCCCATCTTTTGATGGAATTGTTTTTTTCCTTGTGAATTTGTTTGAGTTCTTTGTGGTTCTGAGATATTAGCCTTTGCAGATGAGTAGATTGCAAAATATTTCTCACACCATCTTCTGTAGGTGTCATTGGTAGCTTGATGGGGGTGGCATTGAATCTATAAATTACCTTGGGCAGTATGGTCCATTTCCTCCTTTCTTCTTCCTCAAAAGCAACTATTTGAATTCTTTTATATTTTGGTGTTAATACTCATATTTCCAAGTAACATGCTGGTAGTATTCCTTCTTAATTAAAACAAAATTAGGCATTTTTATTGATTTTCCACTAGGAAGGATGAGGATTTATTCCTCTTGCTATCTGCTGCCACCACTACACATGCACTCTTTCCACCCCGTCCTCTCTTTATAGTTATATTATAATTTTGCTGAGATCTATATTAAGCATTTATGTTGTTATGACTATATAAACATTAATCACAACTGATCCATGAGTAAACTATGATTACTTTTCCTTCTATGTATGGCTTTTTGTTTTATCTGGAGTTATATTGATTTTTCATTTGCTAGGTATTCTATTTATCTAATTATGAGTAATTCATCTCCATCAGGGAATCTAAGCCTTAGTCAGAGATTTAATGGTAGTCTTTGTTAATAACAGTTAACAACTACAAAAGAATCAATAGTGTGCCTAAGGTTCTAGATAGAAAAGACTTTTGGTCAAATTTTATGTTTTGAATGTTGACATACATATAACATATGTACATATGCATATGTACATTTAAACATAGATATGTAAGTATACATACAAATGTGTATATGTATACCACAAACATTCACACAGTTACACATATATGTAATGACCACCATCATCTTGAAGAGAAATGTGCTTGTCTACTTGTTCATTTTAATTATTACATAATTTAATTTATAATATCCCTCTGGGTTCTATGTTTTTGTTAAATTGCTTGTTAACATTAACTTTAGTCTTTGTATTAGTTTCTGGTGACTGCTGCACATTAGTTCAAAGTTAATGACTTAAAAAATTACAGAAATTTATTATCTCTCAGTTCTGGAGGCCAGAAGTCCAGAATCAGCTTCACTAAACCAAAATGAAGGTGTCATCAGGGCTGTGCTCCATCCTCAGGTTCTAGGGGAAAGTTTGTTTTTTGACAATTCCAGCTTTTGGTGTCTGCTGGCATTCCTTTTCTTATGGCTACATCACATAAATCTCTGCATGCCATTTTCACATCACCTTCTCTTCTGTATGTTGAATCTCCCTCTACTTCTCTCGTAAGGACACTTTTGATGGCATTTAGGACCCATATGGATAATCCAGGATTATCTTCTCAACGTCCTTAAGATCTCAAGATCCTTAACTTAATCACATTTGCAAAGGCCATTTTTTCTTATAAAGTAATATTTACAGGTTCTAGGGATTAACACCTGGTATCTTTGGGTGGCCATTATTCACCCTATGACAGTCCTCAAAGCATGTCATGGAAAAAGCCTTTCCAAGATTGAGGCTTGGTGAAGGGTTATGGTAACTGTAGAGAAACGGAAGAAAAATAGTGTATATTCTAGCTGCTGAACCAGTTGAAATATCCTGCTTAAGGGCCTATAATCAATGTGACTCTAATGGAGATTTGGATTTGATGGGAAATGAAAATTCCAAACCCGTATTTCAAATTTATTACAATGGGGATTTTTGAATCCTTGGTCACATAGTGCAGGGCAATAACACCTAGCTTAAGTGGCAATGAATAAAACAGACATAGTCATGGGGCTATTTTTTTTGATAATTTCAGCTACACATATCTCTTTTTGCATTGTGAACAACTCTATCTTGATTCTCTTTGGCCGCTCGGCAGCTGACCAAATCTATAAGCCTTCCTCTTGGCAAAACAAAGAGTAGTATATTTCAAGCTGATTTCTCTGGGTAGAGGTATAGACCCCTAGAAACAAGTATAAATAGAGGTGATGTGCTGTAAAAACTCCGGGCTGGTAGAGTGTTTTCATCGTTAGGTAATTATTAGCAAAAGCCATAAAGTTCATTTTATTTTTTTTTTTAGACAGAGTCTTGCTCTGTCATCCAGGTTAGAGTGTAATGGTGCAATCTCGGCTCACTTCTGCCTTGATCTCCAGGCTCGAGCAATCCTCCCACCTCTCGCACCTTAGCCTCTTGAGTTACAGACTACAGGCGTGTCTGTAACCATGGCAATTTTTTTTTGTATTTTCTGTGGAGAAGTCATAGTCATCATTTCTCTTCAAGGGAGAATTGATATTATTAAACTTTCAGTGAATGGGTTAGTAGTGGTCTTGGCTTTGCCATAATTTTACTGACTGGTACAAAATATACTTTTCCTCCACGTGATACAGTGCTTATCTTTATTTTTTTATTTGTATTTTTATTTATTTATTTTTGAGATAGACTCTCTCTCTGTTGCTCAGGCTGGAGTACAGTGGCATGATCTCGTCTCACTGCAGCCTCTTCCTCTTGGGTTCACGCAATTCTCTTTCCTCAGCCTCCTGAGTAGCTGGGATTACAGGTGCATACCACCACACCTGGCTAATTTTTGTATTTTTAGTAGAGATGGGGTTTCACCGCATTGGCCAGGCTGGTCTCGGTCTCAAACTCCTGACCTCAGGTGATCCGCCAGCCTCGGCCTCCCAAAGTGCTGGGATTACAGGTGTGAGCCACTGTGCCCGGCCTACAGTGCTTATCTTAAAAATGATATATATTTTATTTCTTTGTTTCCCTAATGAGATATTCTTTGCAGATTTGTGAGATATAAAATAGGCTGTGCCTCTCTGAAAAATAAATAAAAATAGCTGCATACTGAAATTACTAGAGATAAGGAATGAACACGAAATCAACATTTAATATTAGTAGTCATTTATTAGGTGTTACTTAAAGCAGTTGAAACAAATTGGTTCTTTTGAGATGTTTGAATTTGTGTTCTAAGTTAATTTAGGAAGGCTTCTTGGAGGAAGAGGAAGGGAGATTCAAGAAAAGACTTTAAGTAGCTATATATAGTCTTCAAATGTTGAGGGTGGAGAAGGGAGTCATTAAATTGGGGATAAAAGGACTTTAAGGAAACTAGGAATAGAGTCTCCTAGCAAGCAGTGATGAAAGCAATTAAGCATATATGGAGCACTTGAAGAAATAACTCCTTATTGAAAAAGGTGGATAGAAGGTAAGGAATGTGTCTGGTCAGTGATCTCCAAGTGTATTAATTCAGACTTTAGGTTCTCATATTTTTGTGTACATGCTTTATATAAAGTATACATAATTTCTTAAAGAACTGTTTGAGTAACCGCCCTTAAACCAAGTTACGATCTCTAGAATAATGACAATAATATTGTACCAACTATCAGCAGATCAAAGTCTCCTTTGCAAGTAGTCTTGTTGTCTTAGATCTGACATGTTTTCAATAATAGGGACCTGTTTTCCTGTTGGCATACTTGGCGCATTTGGTATTAAAACTTACCCTGCTTTTGTTTGCTTTTTTCCCCTTTTCCCTGGCAGCTTAGTCAAACTATGAAACAGGCACGTCACCGGCTAGCATCCTTTAAAACTGTGAGTGAAAAAAAGAGATCAGTGTTTCCAGATGATGGAAGGAAAAGCTTTCCCACCCGAGAGGTAAATTAATTTCTAATACATGATTTAAAAAAAAAATACAGGTAAAAAATACAGATAAAGATTTACTTATATCTCAGCATAATTTAGAACTGTAAAATAATTGGAAATAGCCTTAAATACCCAATAGTAGGGGATGCTTGAGTAAATTTTGACATATCCATATGCAGTCTTTCTAAAAATATAATTTTCAAAGAATATCTGAAGATAAGGGAAAGTGTCTGTGATATAAAGTTAAGAAAAAAGTTGGATACGAAATTAAGAATGAGATGATCTTAAGGAAAATATATGTATATATATTCAACAAATACTTATGGAATGTCTGTGATTGCCAGCATGGTTCTAGAAACAGGACTAATAGTGGTGAAAAGATAGACAAAGATCCCTCAAGGAGCTTCTGTGCTAGTAGGGAAGCATATAATCAACAAGCAAATAAATATAGAATATAATTTCAAGTGATAAGTGCTATGAAGAGAAATGCAGCAAAATAAAAAGATGAAAAGACTTCCGTGTGCATAGACAAAAGCCTAGGTAGAAATGGCACAAGAGGTTAATACTGATTATTTCTGGGTAGTAGTATTACAGGTGATTTTCTTCTGATTTTTATTTTTAAAAATTGTCATATAGTATGTTACTTTCTAATCAGGAAAAAAATTGATACTATTAATTTTTAAAAAGAAAAATTCTTTTGATTCAAAACTTAAGTGAGAGTGTAGAGCTAGGCTTAGGAGGATATTTAAGTCTACACTTATGAATGACATTGTTTTGGTGCCTACCTCAGAATTCACAAATTTGGTTCCTAAATTTATGTGTTTTCCTGTGTGTACTTAGTTTTGGCATTAATTTCAATGTTTGATAGGCAGCATCTAGTAAAATAGACCATTAATTTATTTTTTTAATTATTTTTTTGCCCTCATCAACTGCCTCATTTAGTTCTTTCCCAGTTTTACTTCCTAATTAGTATACTCTTATATTTTCCTGGAATATACATATAATATATAAATATACTTATATGTGACATATATATTTTATATATATATAATTTTTGTATTTTTTTGTGTATCTTGACACAACCATCAAAAATGTTTGTCTCATATATGTTGGCAATTGGTTGAATACTAAACTGTAATGTTTTTCTCTTTAATTATAACTAAGAAATTTATAGTTAAATTTAAAAAACAAGTGGGCATAGATATGTGTCCACATATGGCAACATATCCCACATGCGTTCAGTATGGTTGTCTTTTTCTGGCATTGCCTCATGGCTCCCCAGATAGAGTTTCTTTTGTACCTCAATTATTTTCAGATGTTGGTTTTGTGACAGTTTTCATACCTCTTGTGGTTTGGCAGTACAATGGTTTGGGCCATTAGACTGACTCCAGGGTTCTGTTAGATGAGGTGATTAGACACTTTCTACTAAATCAAAAAAAAAAAAAAAATAGTTATCAGATCTTAGAGATGGTCATTTATATTGTTTGGAAACATGCTCAGACCTTTCAACTGGTGTTTTTCCAGAAGGTGTACTATTTCACAGTTCTGACTGAAATAATTATCCAGTAGACAGGAGGATTAAGTCTGAGATAACATCTTTGTATAAACCAGTTTTATATGTCAGAGGTGCCATTTAAGTGTAATTCTTTATTGTTATGGTGATAAGGATGAATTCAGGCTACCTACTTGCTTCCAAGGAATGCATATATGTTTTTCAGGTAAAAATATGAAAAACAAATCTACTCAATACAATTGGGAATGATCTAAGAAATTGGGGAAATTTTTCTTATTACTTGTATCAAGTCTTTCCCTCAAATCTCAACAATTTTCTACCCTCTTAGTTGTGTGAAGTGGGAATTTGCAAGTCAGAAAGAACAATCTATGATTGGGTTGAACCCTGGTTTTATTTCCTTGTTAGTTTTAGTGACATTAGAACCTGTCTGGTTGTTATTGATCCGGATTTGGAGATACAAGTAGAACACATACTTGCTTGTACTCTGTCAGGTCGCCAAGACTAAAATCATGAGTCTTCTGAAATTGTTACTGGCTAGAATAGGTGCCAGTTGTCATTTATAAAGTTATTATATTCTCCTGTTTCATTCCATATGTTTTTATATGTGACTGCTTTGTTTGTACAGATGACATAGAACTCATGTTTTTTCCCTTTGTTGACTACCAAAACCTACTAAGATAATTTTAGATCTTTCACAGAAACTCAACTTAGTCTCATGAATATGTTGCTTCCTCTAGACCTATTTATATTTGTAGTAATTTTTTTTTTTTCCAGAAAGTGCTTTCTAGGAAACCAGCATCCACTGGGATAAATACAGGAATAAAAGGAGAGTTGCCCATTAAGGTTCATCAAGGTCTTTTAGCTGCTGTACCTTACCAGAATTATATGGAAAATCAGGTAGGGAAATATAAAAAGTAGAGGGGAAAGATACTGGCTTATTAGAGCTATCCACAGCTAACTAAGGATAGGATAAAGAGTTAAGATGTCCAATATATTTTTTAATGGACTTTATTGAGATATAATTCATATACCATACAATTCACCCATTTAAAGCAATTGATTTTCAATACACACAGTTTGCACAGGGTTGTGCAGCTGTTACCACAATCTAATTTAGAGCATTTTATTTTTAATTTTTTAATTAATTTTTAAAAATAACTTTTATTTTAGGTTGAAAGGTACATGTGTAGATTTGTTCTATGGGTACATTGCATGTTGCAGGGGTTTGGTGTACAGATTACTTTGTCACGTGACATTACCTAATAGGTAGTTTTCCCATCCTCACCCTCCTTTCACCCTCCACCCTCAAGTACGCCCTGATGTCTGTTGTTTCCTTCTTTGTGTTCATATGTACTGAATGTTTAGCTCCCACTTATAAGTTAGAACATGTGGTATTTTGGTGTTCTGTACATGAATTAGTTTGCTTAGGATATTGGCCCCTAGATTCATCCATGTTGGTGCAAAAGACATGATCTCATTCATTTTTATGGCTGCATAGTATTCCATGGTGTATATGTACCACATTTTCTTTATCCAATATACCATTGATGGGCATTTAGGTTAATTCTGTGTCTTTGCTATTGTTAATAGTGCTGCAGTGAACATATGTGTGCATGTATCTTTAAGGCAGAATGATTTATATTCCTCTGGATATATACCAGATAATGGGATTGTTGGGTTGAATGCTAATTCTGTTTTAAGTTCTTTGAAAAATCACCAAGCTGCTTTCCACAGTGGCTGAGCTAATTTACATTCCCCTTAGTGGTGTGTAAGCTTTCCTTTTTGTCCACAACCTTGCCAGCATCTGTAATCTTTTGGCTTTTTCTGACTGGTGTGAGATGCTATCTTGTGATTTTGATTTGCATTTCTCTAATGATTAGTGGTGATGAGCGTTTTTTCACATGCATTGGCCATGTGTATGTCTTCTTTTGAAGTGTCTGTTAATATCCTTTGCCCTCTTGTATAGAGTTGTTTTTTGCTTGTAAATTTGTTTAATTCCTTGTAGATTCTGGATATCAGACCTTTCTTTGATGCATATTTTCTCCCATTCTGTAGGTTGTCTGTTTACTCTGTTGATGGTTGCTTTTGCTGTGCAGAAGCTTTAGTTTAATTAGATCCCATATGTCATTTTTTTTTATTGCAGTTGCTTTTGGCATCTTCATCATGAAATCTTTGCCTGTTTCTATGTCCACATTGATATTTCCTATGTTATCTTCTAGTGTTTTTTACGCTTTTAGGTTTTACGTTTAAGTCTTTAATTCATCCTGAGTTGATTTTTATATATGGCGTAAGGAATGAGTCCAGTTTCAATCTTCTGCATATAGCTAGCCAAATATATCCCAGCACCACCGAATTGGGAGTCCTTTCCCCATTGCTTGTTTTTGTCAGTTTTGTTGACGATCAGATTGTTGTAGGTGTGCAGCATTATTTCTGGGCTCTCTATCTGTCCCATTGGTCCATGTATCTGTTTTTGTACTGATACCATGTTGTTTTGGTTACTGTAGCCTTGTAGTGTAGTTTGAAGTAGGGTAATGTGATTCCTCCAGGTTTGTTCTTTTTCTTAGAATTGCCTTGGCAATTCAGGCTCTTTTTTGTTTTCATATGAATTTTTAAATAGTTTTTTTCTAATTCTGTGAAGAATGTCATTGGTAGTTTGATAGGAATAGCATTGAATCTGTATGCTGCTTTGGGCAGTATGGCCTTTTTAACGATATTGATTCCTTTTATCCATGAGCATGGAATGTTTTTCCATTTGTGTCATCTCTGATTTCTTTTAGCATTGTTTTTAAATTGTTATTATAGAGGTCTTTCACCTCCTTAGTTAGCTGTATTCCTAGGTATTTTATTCTTTTGTGGCTATTGTGAATGGGATTGCATACTTGATTTGGCTCTTAGCTTGGATATTGTTGGTGTATAGGAATGCTACTGATTTTGTATCCTGAAACTTTGCTGAAGTTGTTTGTCAGATCAAGGAGCTTTGGGCAGAGACTATGGGGATTTCTAGGTATAGAATCGTATCTTCTGCGAGCAGGGATAGTTTGACTTCCTCTCTTCCTACTTGGATGTCATTTTTTTCTTTCTCTTGCCTGATTGCTCTGGCTTATGTTGAATAGGAATGGTGAGTGAGGACATCTTTGTCTTGTTCTGGTTTTCAAGGGGAATGCTTCCAGTTTTGCCTATTCAGTATGATGTTGGTTCTGGGGGTTTTTGTTACAGATGGCTATTATTATTTTGAAGTATATTCCTTTGGTGCCTTATTTGTTGAGGGCTTTTAACATGAAAGGCTGTTGAATTTTGTTGAAAGCCTTTTCTGCATCTGTTGAGATCATTCTGTGGTTTTTGTTTTTAGTTCTGTTTATGTGGTGAATCACAATTAATGATTTGTGTATGCTGAACCAACCTTGCATCCCAGGGATAGCTTTATTATGGTGGATTAGCTTTTTGATGCACTGCTGGATTTGGTTTGCTAGTATTTTGTTGAGGATTTTTGCATCTATGTTTATCAAGAATATTGGCCTGAAGTTTTTGTTGTTGTTGTTGTGTCTCTGCCAGGTTTTTGTATCAGGGTGATGCTGGCCTTGTAGAATAAGTTAGGGAGGAGTTCCTCCTCCTCAATCTTTTGGAATAGTTTCAGTAGAAATGGTACCAGCTCTTCTTTATAACATCTGGTAGAATTCAGCTATGAATGTGTCCGGTCCTAGGCTTTTTCTGGTTGGTAGGCTTTTTATTACTAATTCATTTTAAAAACTTGTCATTGGTCTAGTCAGGGATTCAGTGTTTTCCTGGGTCAATCTTGGGAGGTTGTATGTTTCCAGATATTTATCCATTTCTTCCAGATTTTCTAGCTTGTGTGTATAGAGGTGTTCATCATAGTCTCCGAGGGGTTTTTTTGTATTTCTGTGGGGCCAGTGGTAATGTCCCCTGTGTCATTTCTGATTGTGTTTATTTGGATATTCTCTCTCTTTTTAATTAGTATAGCTAGTGCTCTATCTTATTACTTCTTTCAAAGGACCATTTCCTGGATTAATTGATTTCTTGTGTTTTTTTTGTTTCTCAGTTTTTATCAGTTCAGCTCTGATTTTGGTTATTTCATGTCTTGTACTAGCTTTGGAGTTGGTTTGCTCTTGTTTCTCTAGTTCTAGTTTGATGTTAGGCTGTTAATTTGAGACCTTTCTAACTTTTTGATATGGATTTTTAAAACTATGAACTTCCCTCTTAACACTGCCTTGGCTGTGTCCCACAGATTCTGGTATGTTGTATCTTTTTCCTCATTAGTTTCAAAGAATTTCTTGATTTCTGCCTTAATTTCATTATTTACCTGGAAGCCATTCAGGATCTAGTTGTTTAATTTCCATATAACTGTATGGTTTTGAGTGATTTTCTTAGCACTGATTCCTATTTTTATTGCATTGTGATCTGAAAGTGTGGTTGATTTTTGTTGTTTTTTTTTTAATTTGCCGAGGATTGTTTTATGGCTGATTGTGTAGTTGATTTTAGAGTATGTGCCATGTGCAGATAAGAATGTATATTCTGTTACTTTGGGGTGGAGAGTTTTGTAGATATCTGTAAGGTCCATTTGGTCAAGTGTTGAGCTCAGGTCCTGAATATCTTTGTTAGTTTTCTGCCTCAACGATCTCTTTTTCTTTTGGAGATGGAGTCTTGCTTTGTCACCTAGATTGGAGTGTAGTGGCATGATCTTGGCTCACTGAAACCTCCGCCTCCTGGGTTCAAGCGATTCTCCTGCCTCAGCCTCCTGAGTAGTTGGGACTACAGGCACCCATTACCATGCCTGGCTAATTTTTGTATTTTTAGTAGAGATGGGGTTTTACCATATTGGCCAGGCTGGCCTTGAACTCAGTGATCTCTTTAATACTGTCAGGGGGCTGTTGAAATCTCCCACTGTTATTGTGTGGTTATCTCAGTCTCTCTCTCTCTTTTTTTTTTTTTGAGACAGGGTCTCACTCTGTCGTCCAGGCAGGAGTGCAGTGGCATGATCTCAGCTCACTGCAGTCTCCACCTCCTGGGTTCAAGTGATACTCCCACCTCAGCCGCCTGAATAACTGGGACTACAGGTGCGCACCATCATGCCCGACTAATTTTTGTATTCTTTGGTAGAGATGGGGTTTCTCCATGTTGACCAGGCTGGTTTTGAACTCCTCATCTCAGACAATCTGCCCACCTCGGCTTCCCAGAGTGCTGGGATTACAGGCGTGAGCCATCGCACCTGGCCTGAGTCTCTTCATAGGTTTCTAAGAACTTGCTTTATGAATCTGGTTGCGCTTGTGTTGGGTGCATATGTATCTAGGATAGTTAAGTCTTCTTGTTCAATTGAGCTTTTTACTGTTATGTAATACCCTTCTTTGTCTTTTTAAAAATTGTTATTTGTTCAAAGTCTGTTTTGTCTGAAATTAGAATAGCAACCCCTGCTTTTTGGTGGTTTCCATTTGCTTGGTAGATTTTTCTCCATCCGTTTACTTTGAGCCTATCTGTGTCGTTTCATGTGAGATGAGTCTCTTGAAGACAGCATACCATTGGGGTTTGCTTCTTTACCTAACTTGCCACTCTGTGCCTTTTAATGGGGCATTTAGTCCATTTATATTCCAAGTTAGTATTTGGTGTGTGCAGATTTCATCCTGTCATCATGTTGTTAGCTGGTTATACAGACTCGTTTATGTGGTTGCTTTTTAGTATCACCGGTCTATGTACTTAAGTGTGTTTTTGTAGTGGCCAGTAATAGTCTTTCCTTTCCATGTTTAGCACTCTCTGCAGCACCTCTTGTAAGGCAGGTCTGATGGTAATGAATTCCCGTAGCATTTGGTTGTCTGAAAAAGATCTTATTTTTTCTTCACTTGTGAAGCTTAGTTTGGCTGGATGTGAAATTCTTAGTTGTAAATTCTCTTCTTTAAGAATGCTGAATATAGGCCCCCAATCTCTTCTGGCTTTTAGGGTTTCTTTCTGCCAACAGACTTGCTATTAACCTGATGGGATTCTCTTTTTAGATGACCTGCCTCTTCTCCCTGGCTGCCTTTAACATTTTTTTTTATTTCAACCTTGGAGAATCTCATAACTGTGTGTTTGGGGGATAGTCTTCTTCTTGTGTAGTATTTCGCAGGGGTTCTCTGCATTTCCTGGATTTGAATGTTAGCCTCTTTAACCAGGTTGGACAAATTTTCATGGATGATATGAAAATATGAATACATTTTGCAAGTTGCTTGGTTTCTTTCCCTCTCAGGGATGCCAATGAGTCATAGATTTTGTCTTTTTATATACTTCCATATTTCTTGGAGGTTTTATTTATTCTTCTTTATTCTTTTTTCTGTATTTTTGTCTCACTGAGTTATTTTGGAGAGCCAGTCTTTGAGCTCTGAGGTTCTTTCCTCAGCTTGGTAATTCTGTAATTAATACTTACGACTGCATTATGAAATTCTCGCAGTGTGGTTTTTCAGCTCTATCAGATCAGTTTGCTTCTTATAATGGCTGTTTTGTCTGTCAGCTTCTGTATCGTTTTATTGTAATACTTAGATTCCTTGGACTGGGTTTTGACTTTCTCCTGAATGTTGATATTTTTGTTCCTATCCACGTTCTGAATTCTATTCCTGTTATTTCATCCATTTCAGAATAGTTAAGAATTATTGTTGGGGAACTAGTGCAGTCATTTGGAGGTAAGAAGACATTCTGGCTTTTTGAGTTCTTGCACTGGTTCTTATGTTTGTGGACTGTATTGTTCCTTCAGTCTCTGAAGTGGCTGTCCTTTGGATTTTTTAAAAATTCCTGTTTGATGTCCTTGGGGGTTTGATTCTGGTATAAGGTGGAGTCAGTTGACTGGCTTCATTTCTGGAAGATTTTAGGGGCCAGGACTCAGCTCATGACTCTTGGACTGTGTGCTCTAACTCTGGGGGACTGGTCCTGGCTTTGTTCTCTGGCCCCTTAAGGTTGGGGACCTGCCACAGTGGAGGAGCTAAGGTGTTCCCAGGCTGCTGGTCACAACACACTGATGGATGGTGCCAGCCAAAACACTTTTTTGGGTGGTGGCAGTGGGATTCATGCTTGTTTTTATGTGCCAGCAGCAGTGGCAGCATGGCAGGGTGCATGCCATGGTGGGATGCTGGCAGGTGCAGGGGTACTGGCCTCATTGTAGGCATTTGCAGTCGTGGTGGTTGCAGTGCTGCACCAGAGGATGGAGCAGTGGGAGTGGGGCCTACTGGCATCATTGTGCATGTTCACTCTGGTGGCAGTGTCAGCATGTCATGGGCTGCTCGCAGGCATGGGGCTGGTGCCCTCCATGTAGGCATTCATGTGCAGCAATGGCTGTGCAGGGCAGGGGGTGGGGCTACTCATCTCCTTGCATGCCTTCGCATTGGCAGTAGCGACACACTATTGCACGCAGGGTGCACTCACATTGGCAGCAGTGGCATGGTGGAGTGTATGCACACTGGTGGGGAAGGGGAGGCGAGGTCTGCCTGCACACACACGTGAGCAAAATGATGTAGGGGTTGCAGTGGGTGAGTGCATGCTGGAAAAGTGGCATGAGGGAGGACGCAGTGGGGGAAGGGCATAGGCAGGCTCATGCTGGTTGGTGTGGTTCGCTGTGATGGTAAGGCACGGTCTGCCAGCACAGGAGCTATTATGTGGGCCTCTGGGAGGCACCCTGGTGGGCATCTGAGGTTGTACTACAAGCAAGTGCAGCCAGGCTGGTGCCCTGGGAGAGGCTGGTAGACAGGTTCACTCATGTAAAACTGGCCCTGTCTCACGGACAAGATTGCCCTGCACTGTTCACATCCGACAGTTCCTCTATGGCTAATGTCTCCTAGGGGAGCAAAGTGGGCCTTGGGGGATGGGCAGCCTGACCATGCCCCACTACAGATACTCCTGTACCAAATCCTCTAGGCTTTGCACTGGCTGGAATTCTACCCCACCACCTCTCTAAGCAGCTCTCCCTGATAGCACAAGTGTCGGTGGGGGTTGTGGGGTCTCCTGCTGCCAGGATTCCAGAGGTCTGTGGAGTAAGCAGGTCGCTCCTTACTTGTTCAATTCATCCCTTCCTCAGGAGCCATTGGGGGCCAGGGACGAGTCCTGGTGCACGGTAGCCCCATTCAAGGTTCCCAGCTTCCTCCCCTTTTGGCCCAGTGTCTGTGTCTTCCCTCTGTCCACTCTTAATGCCTTCCCTCCAAAGATCTGCTAGGAGTGTACCATCTTCCTAATGTTCCAGTGTCTCGGTAGCAGATGTTCCTCTGGGCTGCTTCTAGCCAGCTATCTTGCCTTTGGGATTTGCTCTAGAGCATTTTCTTCTCTCCTTAGAGAAACCCTGTACCTCATTCTCTCCTTGCCCTTAACCTCAGTCCTGGGCAACTACTGATCTACTTTTTGTCTGTATAGGTTTGCCTATTCTGGACATTTCATATGAAAGCTATTATATGATATATTGTCTTTTGTGACTGTTTTTTTCTCTTTGCATAATGTTTTAAAGTTCATCCACATTGTAGTGGATGTATCAGTACTTCATTCTTTTTATTGATGAATAATTTATTGTATAGATGTACCACATTTGGTTTATCTGTTTATCAGTTGGTAGACTTTGGGGTTCTTTGGTGTTTGTGAATTATGAATGATTGTGTATGAGCAGTTGTGTACACATTTTTGTGTGGATATTCACTTCTTTTAGGACATTCATTTCTAGGAGTGAAATTGCTGGATCATATAGTAATTCCATGTTTAACATTTCAAAGAACTACTAAACAGTTTTCCACCAGCAATATGTGAGGGTTCCCATTTCTCTGTATCCTCTCCAACACTTGTTATTGTCCTTCTCTTCTGTTATATCTATCCTAGTAGGTGTGAGTTGGTATCTCACTGTACTTTTGATTTGTGGTATATTTTCCTGATGACTCATGATCTTCAGTATCTCTTCATGTGCTTGTTGCCCAGTTGTATAACCCTCGTGGATAAAACGTCTATGCATGTGCTTTGCCCATTTTTAAAATTGAGTTGTCTTTTTGTTATCAAATTGTTTTTATATATAAATTTATACATAAAATATATATATTCTGGATACAAGTTCCTTATCAGATAGTTGATTTGCAAGTATTTTCTCCCATTCTATAGACTGTTATCTTACTTGATTAATAGTATTGTTTATGGCACAACATTTTTAAATTAGTCACTTCTTTTTTCTTATGTTGCTTGTGCTTTTGATGAATTATCTAATAATAATTGTTTATCTTAAGATCATGAAGATTTACTCCTATGTGTTCTTTTAAGAATTTTATAATTTTTAGCTCTTGATTTTAGGTCTGTGATCCATTTTGAGTTAATTTTTCTGTATGCTGTAAATAAGTGATTCATCTTCATTCTTTTGAATATAGGTATCTAGTTGTCTCAGCATCATGTGTTGAAAAGACTATTCTTTCCTCATTGAATTTTCTTGGTACTCTTGTCAAAAATCAATTGACTATAAATTTGAGGGTTTATTTCTGAACTTTCAGTTCTGTTCCATTGTTCTGTATGTGTCAGTATTACAATGTCTTGATTCCTGTAACTTTTGTGGTAACTTTTGAAATTGGGAGGAGTGAGACCCTTATCTTTGTTCTTCTTTTTCAAGAAGGTGTTTTGCTATTGTGCGTCCCTTGCATTTCCATGTGAATTTTATGATTAACTTATTAATTTCTGCCAGGGAAAAGCCAAGTGGCATTTTGATAGGGAGTGTTGTAAATTTGAGAAGTATTACCACCTTACCAATCTTTACTCTTGACCCATAAACATGTTATGTCTTTCCATTTATTTTGATCATCTGTCATTTCTTTCAATTATCTTTTTAGTTTTCATTATACAATCCTATACTGTAAATATTTTATAACATTTGAACATTTGACTATGCTGACCTACTAAAATTATAATAGCAGTGACCTGAAGCCTAGAATTTTATTGCAATCACATTATGTCTGTAATAGCTACATTGTGTGTGTGTGTGTGTGTGTGTGTGTGTGTGTGTGTATGTTTTCATTGTTTTTTTCTTTAGGAACTTGACTATGAGGAACCTGACTATGAGAAATCTTCATCTCTTGTAACTGATGAGAAAGCGAAAGAAGATTTATTTGGGAGAGACCAGCAGGAGCAGCAGGATATCCTTTCTGAAGATAAGAACGAACCTTTCAGCAGAGTTCAGGTAAAGCAACAAGAAATTAAATTAACTGTGATTTGGACTAGGTATTGCCAGTAATGTTGTACTGATTTAGGATTGTAGATTTAGCTTTTGTTAAGTTGGATAAAGATTATAATTTCACATTTTATTCTAGTAATTTGCTTCACTGCCATATCATTTTGAGATTATTTTAGGAATCTTTTGGAAAACCTAGAGTATTGCTACTAACTCACATTCTGTATTTGGTGTTTATATTCACTTTTAGAAAGTAAAATTCAAAGATCCATTATTTGTTCTGATGGAAGAAGAACAACAAAAGCAGATACATTTTGAGGGCCTTCAGGATATTCTGCCAGAAGCTCAGGATTATCTTCCAGAAGCCCAAGGTGATTTGGTGGAAACCCAGGGTGATTTGACAGGAATCCAGAGTGTTGAGCCAGATACCCAGGCTGTTGAGCTGAAGGTTCAGATTACTGAGCCAGAAGGCCAGGCCACTGAGCCAGAAGGCCAGCCTATTAAGACAGAAACTCAGGGTATTATGCTGAAAGCCCAGAGTATTGAGCTAGAAGAAAGGAGTATTGTGTTGGAAACTCAGGATTTTCTACCCCCAAATCAGGCTTTTCTAACTAAAAACCAGGATGTTTTACTCAAAGACCACTGTGTTCTCCCTAAAGACCAGAATATTCTACTCAAATATCAGGACCAGGATTTCCTACCCAGAGACCAACATGTTCTCCCCAAAGACCAAGATATTCTACCTAAATATCAAGACCAGGATTTTCTACCTAAAGACCAGGATTTTTTATGCAGAGACCAGCATGTTCTCCCTAAAGACTGGAATATTCTACCCAAACGTCAGGACCAGGATTTTCTACCCAGAGACCGAGGTTATCTTCCCAAAGACCAAAATATTCTACTCATATGTCAGGACCGGGATTTTCTCCCCAGAGACCTGCATGTTCTCTCCAACGACCAGAATATTCTATCCAAATGTCAGGACCAAGATTTTCTACCAAAATATCAGGTAAAATAGAGTGGAAAGGAGACACAAGAAGAAGAAATAAGTTACTTAGGGTTTTGAGGAGGGATTTGTAAGGACTACAAGTATACCTTGGAGATATTGTGGGTTCAGTTCCAGGCCATTGCAATAAAGCAAATATTGGAATAAAGTAAGTCACACAAATTTCTTGGCTTCCCATTACGTATAAAAGTTATGTTTATATTATACTGTAGTCTATTAGTGTGCAATAGCATAATGCCTAAAAAAAATACATACCTTAATTTAAAAATACTTTATTGCTAAAAAAAAAAAAAAAGCTTACGATTATCTGAGTCTTCGGCAAGCCATAATCTTTTTGCTGGTGAAGGGTCTTGGCTCAATGTTGATATCTGCTGACTAATCAGGGTGGTGTTTACTGATGTTTGGGGTGGCTGTGGAAGTTACTTAAGACAATAATGAAGTTTGCCACATCATTTGACTCTTCCTTTCATGAAATATTTCTCTGTAGCATGTGATAATGTTTGATAGCATTTGATCCACGGCAGAACTTCTTTCAGAATTGGAATCAATTCCCTCAAACCCTGCCACTACTTTATCAACTAAGTCTGTGTAACATTCTAAACCCTTTGTTATCATTTTAACAGTGTTCACGGTAGATTCCATCTTAAGAAAACACTTTCTTTCCTCATCATAAGAAGTAACTCCTCATCCATTTAAGTTTGAACTTAATGGAGATTGCAGCAATTCATTCACATCTGCAGGCTCCACTTCTAATTCTAGTTCTCTTGCTGTTTCTACTACATTACAATTACTTCCTTCACTGAAGTCTTGAATGCCTCAAAGTTCATGAGTTCAAATCAGCTTCTTCCAAACTCCTGTTAAAGTTGATATTTTGACTTCCTCCCATGATTCATGAATGTTCTTAATGGCATTAAGAATGGTGGACCCTTTCCAAAGGGTATCAACTTACGTTGTCCATATCTATCAGAGGAATCGCTGTCTATGACAGATAGGCCTTAAGAAATGTATTTTATAAAAAACAAGACTTGAAAGTCAAAATTATTTCTTGATCCACAAGCTACAGAATGGATGTTGTGTTAGCAGGCATGAGAAAACAACATTAATCTCCTTGTAGATCTTCATCAGAGCTCTTGGGTGACTAGGTGCATTGTCAGTGAGCAGTTTAAAAGGCATCTTTTTTTTTTTTTTGGAACAGTTGGTTTCAACAGTAAGTGTAAAATATTCTGTAAAACATGTAAACAGACATGCTGTCATCTTGGCTTTGTTATTCCCTTCACAAAGCACAAGAAAAGTAGATTTAGTACCATTCTTAAGGGCCCTAGGACTTTTGGAATGGTAAATGAGCATTGGCTTCAACTTAAAGTCACCAGCTGCATTAGCCACTAACAAGAGAGTCAGCCTGTCCTTTGAAACTTTGAAGCCAGACATTGATTTTTCCTCTCTAGCTGTGAAACTCCTAGTCATCTTTTTCCACTATAAGGCTGTTTTGTCCACACTGGAAATCTGTTGTCCAGTGTAGCCACCTTCATCAGTGATCTTAGCTATATCTTCTGGATAACTTGCCGCAGCCTCTCATCAGCACTTGTTGCTTCACCTTGTGCTTTCATGTTATAGAGACACCTTATTTCCTTAAACCTCATGAACTAACCTCTGCTAACTTCCAACTTTGCTTCTGTAGTTTTTTCACTTCTCTCAACCTTCATAATGTTGAAGAGAGTTAGGGCCTTGCTCTGGATCAGACTTTGACTTAAGGAGATGTTGTGGCTGGTTTGATCTATCCATACCGCTAAAACATTTTCCATATCAGCAATAAGGCTTTCTTACTGACCATGTATTCACTGGAGTAGATTTTAATTTCATTCAAGAACTTTTCCCTTGCATTCAAAACAGGGCTGTTCGGTACAAGAGGTCTAGCCTTTGGACTGTCTTGGCTTTCAACAGGCCTACTTCACGAAACTTAATAATTTCTAGCTGTTGCTTTAAAGTGGGAGACATGTGGTTCTTTCTTTCACTTGAACACTTAGAGGCCATTGTAGGGTTATTAATTGGCCTAGTTTCAATACTGTTGTGTCTCAGTGAATAGGGAGGCCTAAGGAGAGGTGGGGGGTGGCCAGGTGGCAGAACAGTGAGAACACACACAACATTTATCAGTTAGGTTTGCTGTCTTATATGAGTGTGGTTATGGCACCCCAAAACAATTAGGATAGTAACATCAAAGATCACTGATCACAGATCACCATACCAGATATAATAATAATGGAAAAGTCTGAAATATTGTGAGGATTTCCAAAATGTGACACAGAGACATTACGTGAGCACATGCTGTTGGAAAAGTGACGCCAGTGGATTGACTTGACATATGATTGGCACACACCTTCAGTCCGTAAAAAACACAGTATCTGCAAAGCATAATAAAACCAGGTATGCTGTATATTGTACCTGATTTGGAGATCCATACTTGGAAAAAATAGTTTCTTGATTGGTTTCTCAAAACTCCAGATCTCTTACTGAGTGTTATAGTATTACCAGCAGCATATTACTCCAAATAAACAATTTGCTGTTTCTTTTCTTTTTCTATCTTTAATTTTTTAAATCAACACTCTACCCAGATTTTATGAACAATTTAACTTTTTATTTTTAATCTTCTTCATTAGGAAAAAATTTCTGGCAACAAGGAAGAAGAAAGAGAGCAACAGGAATTAGATTACTTAGGGTTGTGGTTGGACTTTTGTGCAATGGAGTGTAGTTTTTTGTTTTATTCCATAAGGTGCTCAGTTATATTCTGATCTTAGTTAACTCCAGAATTCTCACTAAAACCTAAAGTCTTAACCTGTCATTCTTAACTGAACAATTGGTATGTTGTGTTTATTCTTTTTTAGAAAGCAGATCTGAAGCAGCCAACATCCATTTTGATAGATAGGAGAGGGAGAGAGGCACTTCCTCTGGATGTCCATCAGGATCTTCTATGCAGGCATCATCAGGCCTCCATCAGAGGCAAGGTAGAAAAGAAAAAAGAGACCAACAGGAACTGAATTATTTAGAGTGTAGTTTGAAGTTTTCAAAGGTTGTTCTTAGCTAAACTTCGGAATTGACAAAAAGTATGGGTTTCTCTTTTATTCCATAATGTCTTAAATTATCCTGAAAAAAACTACCCTTTGGCCTTCAATGAAGCCTAGAATATTATTGCTATCATGTTAGTCTTACTAGACAATTTATAGTTTATGATTATTTTCTCTTTTAGAAAGTACACTTTAAGGAGCCATACTCTGATATGACAGATGAGAAAGGGAGAGAAGACTTGTCTCTGGCAGATTATCAGTGTTTGCCTCCCAAATCCCAGGACCAGGATGACATCAGAAACCAGGTAGAGCAGAATGAAAAAGATATAAACAGGAAGAAAGTACCCGGGTTTTATACATCCCAACAACTGGTAATTTAGAATGAGGGACTTTGGAGCTAACCTAAGAAAATAGTGGCTTTTTTTTTTTTTTTTTTTTTTTTTGATGGAGTCTTGCTCTGCCGCCCAGGCTGGAGTGCAGTGGCATAATCTCGACTCATTGCAACCTCTGCCTCCTGGATTCAAACGATTCTCCTGCCTCAGCCTCCCGAGTAGCTGGGATTACAGGCACATGCCAGCATGACCGGCTAATTTTTGTTTTTTTAGTAGGGACAGGGTTTCGACATGTTGGTCAGGCAGGTCTCGAACTCCTGACCTCAGGTGATCTGTCTGCCTCTTCCTCCCCAAGTGCTGTGATTACAGGCGTGAGCCACTGTCCCTGGCCAGAATATAGTATTTTGTATTCCTTCCCACATTAGTGGGAAGATTATCCTAAGTCCTGTTAGAACAGAGGAACTGCTTCAGGAGCATAGAGTGTTAAACCCTAAACAATTCAGTTTCTCCTGGTTTCCTCTTTTTTTTTTTTTATTTTTTTTTATTTTTCTCTTCTACTTTGTACTTCAGTGGTACAAAAGACCCTGGTCTAGGGAACTATATGAGTCAAAATCAGTTCTGTGATTTCTGAGGCTGATGTATCATGTTCATATCTTATTCCAGAATCAGTTGACTATTTTAATTTAACAAGATAATTATTCAGCTCTTACCAAAGCCAACAGTATTGCTGCAAGTATATGCCCCTACATGAACAATGTAGGATCTAGAAGATACTTAGGATTTGGTGAGTTCATCAGACTCTTCTGTCCATGATGGGACTAAGAATTAAGGTCTACATAGTTGAGCTAAAAGTGTAACATCTCCCTCATATCAAAATATATCAGAATATTTTTACCTAGTTTCATTTCTCTGGAGTTTTCACTGATGCTTATGATATTATGATTAGCATTACACAATTTTTTTTCTATTGTTGTTTTTCCTTTAAAACATGTTTCTCAAGCAACCTCCATCTTTTATGAGAGAAGAGAGAGTGAGAGAAGAATTGCCTCTGGACTGTCATCAATATGTTATACCTAAAATCCAGGACCAAGACTCTCCTAGAGGACAGGTAGAACCGAATACAGTCGGAGGAGTGTGTACTTTCTAAAAGAGGAACAAGGCTAAATTATATAACATTGAGGCCGAAGCCTGTCAAACCAGCTTGTTTGTGGGATACATAGAATTAAGGCCTCCAGAATTAAGCTAAGAGTATAATGTTTTTGGTTATTTCAAAATGTGCCAGAGTATCTGGAATTTGCTTTAAAATACTCCAGGAGAAACGTTGGAGAAGAGATAGATTAAAAAGCAAAATGTTGCTAATTGTTGAATCTGTGTAATTGTTGAATCTTGAGATTCATTATACTTTTTTTTTCCTACTTTGAGGCATGTTTGGAAATTTTTATGTTGAAACACACACACACACACACACACACACACACAGAGCTTTAACTGTGTTCTGTTATCCTCATCTAGTGTCATTACTCTGGGATTGTCACTGAAGTCTATAATATTGTCACTAGCCCATCATTTCTGCTTAGACAATCAGTTTTGTATTTTGTTGTTCCTTTAGAACAAGCATTTCAAACCACCCTCATCTTTTGAGAAATGGGAGATTGCAAGAGGAAATATTCCTGGAGTGCCATCGGTATGTTTCACACAATATTCAGGATCTAGTCTCTCCTAGAGAAGTAGAGCAGAATATATTGAGTAAGTAGCAGAGTGTAAATTGCTTTTTTTTTTGGCTGAAGATTGACAGGGCAGTGTAACTGCTTCAGGAATTTAGCATTAAGGTCAGTAATAATGGGCAAAGAATATAACGTTCTTTTGTTCTGTGATGTATCACACCATTCTGACCCATTGAAACTACTTCACTCGTCTTCACTGAAGCTTTTACTATTGTCACAGGAATGATGATCCTGCTTGGATAATTTATGTTCAGTGTTTATGTTGTCTTTTAGCACAGGAACTATGAGCAGACCTCACATGATATGACAGATGAGAGATGGAGAAAGGAGTTACTTCCAGAGTGCCATGGATATATTTTACATGAAATCCGAGATCCAGGCTCTGCCAGAGAGCAGGTAGAGCAGGGTATATTAAAGAGTAAGCAGCAGAAAGCAAATTAGTTAGAGTTTGAGTTGGGTTTATCATAGTTTCATTACCAAAAAAGATCATGATGATCGTGTTACTTGTTTTTAATATTAGCAATAGTATTATTAATATTATGAATAACAGCTTACATTGATTGAACACTTACCACAGCCAAAATGGTTTTACAATTTTATATGAAATATCTTGATTTTCATAATAACCATAGAAGATAGATACTGTTATTATCATTGGTTTATAGATGACGTTTAAGATTGCTTTGCAGGTAGAGTTAAGATCCAGAACGGTGACAAGAAGTATAATGTCTACTTTTATGCCATAATATATCAGACTATTCTGACTTACTTAGATTACTTCAGGGCTATCATTGAAGCCTACAGTATTATCACTACTGTGATACCACTGCTCACACAATTTGGTAAGTGTTTTTGTATCTTTTAGAACTTATACTTTAGGCAGCAGCCATCTGTTTGGTCAGCTGAAAGATGGCCAGAGGATTTGCTTCTGGGTGGCCATTAGCACCTTTCACCCACGCACCAGAGAGATACTTCCGGCAGACGACAGGTAGAGCACACCATAGGGTATGAGCAGTGGAATTTAGACAAGATTGTAGGTACCTACTAAACTGGGAGTGGTCAGGCTGATCAAGAAGCACATTCCTGTTTTATTTCATACAGTGCAAAATGTGTCCTGAGATTATTATCCTAATCCTAAGCTTATTTGAGGTCTCTCATTGAAACCTAGGATATTTTGGGGAGCATTTATTATCCATTTGAAAAACTATAATTTTATATGTATTTTTATAAAAGGCATATTTCTGATGGCCATTGTCCTTTACAGTGTGAGAGGGGAAGAAATGAGCAGTTCTGAGGGCGGGGGTTATGAGGATCTTCCACCCCATGGCCAGGGCTAGATCGCCATCAGTAAGCTGGTAGAGCATAAGGCAGGAGCATCAAGAAGTAAACTAATCAGGTTTGGACTGGAGCTTGTTAGGTTCCTCTTGCCTAAGGTTTGGGGGCATTGAGTTAAGATCTGTAGTTTTTCAAGAAAATGTTACAATGTCCTGGCCTACTAAGATTTTTCTGTGGCTTAACTGAAGTTTGGTTTTTATCACTGGAATTTTACCCCTTTCTGCATAATTTTTATTTTCCGATTTTATGTTTTTAAAAACAAAGGCTTACGGCAACCAGCAGTGTTAGGCTGTATGAAAGAGACTGGAGAAAGATTTTCTCTTGGCCTCTTTAAGAGAGCAGAATTCTAAGGAGGCAAAGAAGCAGAAAATAGAGTTGGGCTGAGGTTTTCAGGACTGAACTGCAACTCTTGGTGATTTTTAGTTTGGGTCTATAAGGTTGGCCTAAGGGTATGCTGCTGTGTTTTAGTCCACATTGTCATTTATACATCCTGAGCCCTGCCAGGCTCTTTCCTACCTCCGGTCTCTTGCATATGTTTTTTCCTCTTGTCTGGGTAGTCTTCCCTTTTTCCTTCATAAAGTCGGTCCCTCTTATCCTTCAGGTTTCAGCTTAAATGTCACCTCCTTGGAAAAGACCGTCCTTACCACCTTATCAAAAATAGATCTCCTCTTTTCTGTTTTTCTCTATCCTTGCATTCTGTTTTTCTTTATCCTTGCATTCTGTTTGTTTCCTTTTCAGTGCAAAACAATTTGTAGTTAGTTACTAGTTTACTTGTTTTCTTATTGTCTAGAGATTTCCCACTAGCCCATAAGCTTTGTGAGAGAGGTACCATACCTGTTTTATTTACCATTATATGAACAGCACTTGGCACAGTGGCTGGTACCTAGTAGTCACTCGGTAGATATGTTTTGAATGGATTAGCCAATCAATCAAACATCTATTGAGCACCTTTTAGGTTTTAGCCATTGTTTAAATACTAAATATCAAAGATACAGTTGTGAGCAAGACACAACACTCAAATTTCAGGCAATCTAAAGAAGAGAGACTTATACATAAACATAATTATGAAGCAGCGTAATTAGCAATAGAGGACATATAGGGCATTCACAAAGCACACAAGAGGGGTACTTATTCCAGACTATTCAGTTCAGGTTACAGCTTTGGTGGTCTGAATCTCTTGTCCTTCTGCTGTTACTGTCCCTGGAAATTTTCAACCCTGGAATAGCCTTTTCTCCTTTTTTTTTTTGAGACAGAGTCTCACTTTATCACCTAGGCTGGAGTGCAGTTGTGCAATCTCAGCTCACTGCAACCTCTGCCTCCTGGGCTCAAGTGATTGTTGTGCCTCAGTCTCCTGAGTAGCTGGGACTACAGGCATGTCCTACCATGCCTGGCTAATTTTTGTATTTTTAGTAGAGATGGGATTTCGTTGTGTTTGCCATGCTGGTCTCAAACTCCTGACCTCAGGTGACCCTCCCGCCTGAGCCTTCCAAAGGTGCTGGGATTACAGGTGTGAGCCACTGCGCCTGGCCATCTTTTCTCCTTTTACGCTGCCAAATAATCTAGCCTTTTTGAACAAAACACTTTAATAGTATAGATTTATACCATATTCATACTTAGGGTTTCCAGTCACAGCTGGGTTCCCAGGGCTGCTTAGTATTTTTTCTTGCCTATTCCCTACCACCTTGCTCTCCAGTGCTCTACACTGGGACTATTCTAAATCTTAAACACTCCTTAAACTTCTTGCTGCACCCGCATATTCTCAACTTTCTTACAGAAAATAAAAGCTATCACACAATAACTGCCTTAACCATTTACTTTCTTTTTGTTGCTGTTATTACTTATTCTTACTATCTCGGAGGAAAAGTTTTCTCTTCAAGCCCCACCTGCTATATTCTCTGCTCTTCAAAGTTAATCACTGTCAAGAGTTTATGCATCCTTTGAGTCCTCTTTATAAGCATTTATACACATGTAAATGTAGACACATTAAAAAATTGTGATAAAATATACATATAAAATTTCCCATTTTAATCCTTTTTAAGTATACAGTTCAGTGGTGTTAGGTACACTCACATTGTTGTGCAACCATCACCACAGTCCATCTCCAGAGTTTTTTTCCATCTTGTAAAACTGAGACCGTATACACGTTAAACAGTAATTTCTCCGTCTCTTCTCCCCATGTCCCTGGCAACCACTATTCTACTTTCTGTCTTCATGAATTTGATTACTCTCGGTACCTCATGTAAGTGAAATCATACAGTATTTGTCCTTTTATGCCTGCCTTATTTCACTTAGCATAATGCTATGGCATATTATAGGAGTTACTTCCTTTTTAAGGCTGAATAGCATTCCACTGAATGTATATACTACGTTTTGTTTACCCATATATCCATTGACTCTTCACAATCCGTTTTCTTTGTTCTAGACCTTCCTATACAGTATGAATCCTGTTGTGTAGGGTTCCTTTTACTCAGCATAATGTTTCTGAGATTCATTCATGTTGCTGCATCAATAATGTGTTCTTTGCATTGCTGTGTAGCATTCCATTATTTGAATATATCACAGTTTGTTTATTCAATCTCCTATTGATGGACATCTGGGTTGTTTCCTGTTTGTAGCTATTTGGTACTGGGAATGGGGTGCTGCTACAACAAATATTGAAAAAATGTGGAAATGGCTAAAAAAATGGGTAATGGATAGAGGTGAAGAATTTTGAGGCCCCTGACAGAGAAAGCCTTTATCATTTTAAAAATTATTGTTATATTTTGAAACAGACTCTCACTCAGTTGCCCAGGCTGGATTGCAGTGGCATAATCATAGCTCATTGAAGCGCAAATGGGTGGCTCAAGTGATCCTTCTGCCTCCGCCTCCTAAGTAGCTAGGACTACAGGTTGTACTACCCATGCTTGGCTAATGTTTATATTTTTGTGGAGACAGGGTCTTGCTATGTTGCCTACTCTGGTCTTGAGCTCCTGGCCTCAAGTGATCCTCCTGCCTGAGGAGGCTGAGGAGGATCCCAAAGTGTTAGGATTGCAGGTGTGAGCCACTGCTGCTGGCCATCATTTTAGAGAATATCTTCATTTTTAGAAGCAAAATATTGGTGGAAATGTGTACATTAAAGATATTGCCAGCTGGGCATGGTGGCTCATGCCTATAATCCCAGCACTTTGGGAGGCCGAGGTGAACGGATCACTTGAGACCAGGAGTTTGAGACCAGACTGGCCAACATGGTGAAGCCCTGTTTCTACTAAAAATATAAAAGTTAGCCAGGCATGGTGGCATGCACCTGTAATCGCAGCTGCAAGGGTGGCTGAGGCACAAGAATCACTTGAACCCAGGAGGCAGAGGTTGCGGTGAGCCAAGATCACACCACCGCACTCCAGCCAGGGCGACAAGAGCGAAACTCTGTCTCAAAAATAAATAAATAAATAAATAAATAAATAAATAAATAAATAAAATAAAAAATAAATAAAAATACTGCCAGTGAAGCTCAAGGAAATGAGGAACATGTTATTGGAAACTGGGGGAAAGGTAATCCTTGTTATTTAGTGGTAGGAAGCTTAGCTAAATTGTGTCCTACAGTTGTATGGAAGGCATAACTTGCAAGCAATGAACTTGGAAATTTAGC